CTGGCCCGAACTATACACAAAAATAAACAATTTGGTCAGATCCGACTTTTGACCGTTAACTTGGACGGTCAAATGCGTTGACCGTCAGTCAACGGGCCATGTCACTGCCAAGTCCACATACATATTTAAAATAATTCACAATTTCCACACATTCCCTAATTTTAAATTATTATAAATTAAAAAAATCATCTAATACCTTAGTTAAACCAAAAATAAAAAACAAAAAAATTAAATATTTATCAGATCTCTTGACTTGGCAGTGACGTGGCGCGTTGACCGTTAGTCAATGTGTTTGACCGTCCAAGTTAACGGTCAAACATCGGGTTTGGCCAAATTGTTTATTTTGGTGTATAGTTCGGGCCAGGATGTTATAGATCGAAAAGATTGGCCAGGATGTTTATTTTGGTCAAAGTTCACGCCATACGAAAATATTAACCCTTAAGGTTACTATAATTTAAGAAATGTGAAATCACAACATAAAAAAAGAGGAGAGCCTTACTTAATTACGTTGGCCACGATAAACTGAGCAGATCGTGCGTTATGGATTCTGAAACTGCGATCTCTGAGTTCAAAGTTCGACACCACAACCATAAACCATTCGACCGAACCTGCACTGGACAAAGTAATGTGTTACGAACAACTGTCAGCAAAATCTTTGAGATAATGCAAACTAGAAAACTGGGAATGCAAGCATTTGCAAAGTTGAATGTACGCATGAAGCCACCAGCAAACTGAAACCTGCCTTATAAGCACATAAAAGCAACAGCCCTGTCAAACCAATTTGATGCATGATTTGAATAGGCTCTAATTCTCGACTTAGAAACTGTCCCGGTTGTCGATTCAGTCATCTAATTTAAGCGCTTGAAACAAAAGGCAATGGGACCAAAAGACTTGTTTGATTCAATTTGCTTCGACATAGTCCCTGTATTCATTTTCGATCTATAATGGTGCTGATTTGATCTGATTCGAATACAGCTATGTAGACTGAAACACCTAAAAGAATATGGGTCTGCCCCACTCATATGGAAGTTTCTGCAGCTACAATAAAGCTTACCAATATGATGCACAAACCATTCTGCAGAAATAGCGTCCCCCCTGAGCAACCTGTGTATTCCCGAGTCCAGACCCTCTCAATCCGTATTTCGTAGCATGTTTGTCCTGCACAGCAAAGCCAAACGATAAGAAGAAAAAACACGTTAGTGGGATAAAGGGAAAATCTTCAAAATTCAAACTGACCTGCAATACAATTCACAGTCCAGACTGTAGAAATCTTGATATTATTGGTGTTGTTCCAGTTTGAAGCTGGGATCAAGCAGCTTATTCATTTCATTACTTTGGGCTCTCCCCTCCGCAGTGTGCCAGTTCTCACACACCACAAATTAACCCATGGAGTATTATCTAGTATTTAGCTAATTAAATATTAGTTGGTTTAAACACTTTCTTCTGCACTCATGATCCTCGATCAAGGATTACCTGGTAAATGCTTGCAGTTTCCTATCACCTATCAATCATCTAGACAAGAGATAGGATGGTAGGTATATAGCTAATAGGAGATACTCCTTTGATCGAGGGGACAGCTAAACTGTTACCTAGATAATAGGTGATACTCGATCAAGGATTTACTTGATCTCATACTGTTAATACTCAAACCTTGATCCCGAGTATCACCTGTTATCTATCAAGGTTCAAACATAAATCCTAGTATCATATACAGAACAAAACTACATGTAAGTTCAAACCTTGAACTCGGCATTACCTAGATAACATTTTCTGCCTGAATTATTATGATATCAAAGTTCAAGAAAAAACCTTATAATAACTAACTTTGATACCTTTCGTTATCGTATTCTCATTTGTGCAGAAATCGCTAGATAGTACAAATGACCACATAGAGCTCAAGGGTTTCACAACTCCTTCGAGAGTAAACGTTCGAACGCCACATTAACAATTCAACAAGAGAGCATAAAGAAAAAAATTAAGCAAACAAGGGAAAGAAAGAAATCATGATTCTCCGTCACAGCAATGACCGACAAGAATACTACACCTGATTCAAGATTAAGTTATCAGTCAACTGAACACAAAGAATAAGAATTACGAGCAGCCAATACTCAATGATTGATAATGATAGTGAATATATCTAATATTATATATAAGATAATTAAGTGGAATTTCAAACCCCATCATCCTATACAGAGAACACTTTCACTGTCAAATGGAATCACAAAAACTGTGTGGTGATAAAAAGCAAAGCGAATCAATACCAGACAGGAGTCTGGAACTATAAGCGAAATTAGAACAATGAGAGTAAAAAATGAATGCGTAGGGGGGGCCAAAAACAAAAAGAGAAAAAACTGAACCAAACAAAAAGTAGAGGGTGGGGTGGCTCTGGCATGCCTAGTGGAACCGAAATCCCTCCCAAAATGCTTATATAAAAAAAGGACACACACATACAGATAATATACATATAATTATGCAAGTTGAGATGGAGGGTAGAAAATAAAGAAGCCAAGCACTCAAATATTATGCGCATCCAAAGGACCTCCAAGTAGCCCCATAGATGACTCTCGCAAGATTTATAAAACAAAGAATGATCAAAAGGGTCCCATACACAACCACATTTCTTATCTCAGTGCTCTGCAACAAATGATACTTGCGATGATTTTTATTTTTGAATTTGACAGAAATGGGAATCCATTGATGGGTTCTCATTTCAATAATTTCTCTCATATGCAAAATAACAAAGTGCAAAGGAGGAGAGAGATAAAGGAGAGAATAATACGCCTAAGATTTATGCTTATAGCATCTAACTCCCCCCCTCCCTATCTCCACTTTAATTTTTCTTTTCTATCTCCTTCTCTACATCTTATTTTAGATTAATAATATACATAGTCATGCAATGCTGCAATGCTCATATCAAATTACGGGGAAAGGAATGTTGAAAAATACAGTGAACACCAGAAATCGAAAAACACAGACTTTTTAGAAGGAATATAAGAATTTGTTGGCTAATGGATTCACTATTAAAAGGAAAGCAACCCCTCGCCCACCCTTTTACTACTAATTTTGGCAAATCCCCCATGCTTCCTACTCGTTTATTTCTTCATATGCTCGAAAACTTGTATGCTGTGAGATAAGGTATAAAGATGAGAGAAAAATCCTCCGGTTAAAGCAAGGATATACCTCACATTCGTGGAGGAAACGCGACTTTCATTATTAACAGAGTGTAGATGGGCTATAATGGCATTTTTGTTGCATAAATTAACTTGGCACAGCATTATATCAAAAGATATATCCTACAGAGAAGGAATCAGAACAAAGAACAATTTGGAGGTTGCCAGTGAGAAACTCAAGGGATTCACCTTTCTTTTCTCAAGTTCAGTGAATGACTTGAAATGGTTCCAAATATTGAAAATCAATACAACAAAACGTGGGTGGTTCATGTCACTGTCATTGGACTACTGAGAGAAAGCATGTGAAAATAACTCAACTTCTCTTAGCTTTAAGCGTTGCTTTAATAAAAATGTACATGAGTTTCATAAAGTAACTTTTGAGTGCACGAACTGATAAGTTTTGTTAAGCAAGAGAAATAATAATATGCTTAGAACTCAAAAAAGAAAAAAAGAACAAAGATGAGTCTTCCTTTTGATTCTACTTCATGTTTGGACAATATAGAAATCAACTGTCACGTTAAACTTTTTCTCTTATAAAACGAAATAAGACATGGGAGATTAAAAGCATTCAAGCAAGCTAACCTTAAATGGAACAGTAAATGCAGCCAGAACTTTTTTACAATGTAAGATAAATATTTGTTTTTATTAAGGCACAATTTTAATACTCTCTTAAGCACCGTCGAGCACAATTCCCCCAAATGAAGATAACTTAAACTGTAATTCACAAATGCTCATATTGATTTTTCTGTAACAGCTTTTACAAATTCTCAAAGGAGTGGAATTCGATACAGAAATCAAAGGATTACCTGAATAAGGCTGCAGGTAGAGAATGAGATAGGGAGACAAGATACAGATTCTCTAGGCAACCAAATCACCCAAGCATGAGGCCTTTTGCAAAAGGACTGATGTGATGTACAAATCATCCCTGCATGACAGGTAAGTTTATTAACAGCCAAACCCACATAAGAAGTCTTGCGTAAATTGATAGCCACCACGACCCTTGCCAACTTTCAAGTAGTAAGAATGTATCGTTTCTACATGGACAGACAATAACTTGGATTCACACAATAGAATGTACGATACAGATGCAAACCATGTCCTAACATGATCTGAAGAGGGGTGGAATGAGTACAAGTTGCCTTTGTTTAGTTGTCTTCTTCTGTGTGGGTTTGGAGGGGGAGGGGGATAATGACCTCCAAATTGAGGTACTGAAATACATAGCCCTTAAGAGTTCCCACTTGCTTCGCAATCTTAGGTACTTTTGTGTGAATCAGTGGCGAGCATCATCATTTGTCTAGCAGGCAGTACCTAACAAAACTCTCTTTTTCCAATTCTACTAGCACCCAAGAAACTATTGTGAAGCACGCAAGTGCATCAGAAGCAGCTAATAAACAAAGGGAAACATCTAGCAAAGGTGACCTGTGACACCAAATCAGCAGTGTATTGCAGCACACTGATTTGCCTCATAGTGGAGGTATGATATTTCCAAACGGAAAGAAAGAAAAGGCATTGCTGTGCGTAGGGATAGACTCCTACAAATGATCAATCCTCTATCAATGGCATGCATCATTTCTCCCTTCCTAAAAATAAACACTGGCATGCCTCAATTCCAGTCATACAAGTCTAAAAGCAAGTAGCTATGGAGGTTTTATGTGCCCCCTGCCATAAGTCTATTGTATGTCAGAAAGAGAAAGAAGACGAAAATAAAGCTAACACATAAAGAGATGAGAATAAATATAACTAAGAGTTAGTGACAGAATATTTTCAGAAGAAAAGGTAATGGGGACCCCACCAACATCAGACTTAGCACACTAGATTTTGAATTGTACCCTCCACTATATATTTGGGTGCCCCAGTTCAGTTTAGGAGCCAAGTTAAACAAAATCGTAAACTTCTCTTGCTAATAGAAAGCATCTAGAACCATTTTCAGTACCATGCCTGTCAACTGTGTTGCACCAAAACCAGAGTATGAGAGCAAAGCCCCAGGGGAAGGTTTGTCAGGGAAGAATGAACCCAGTAATGCGGCCGTGCTTGCCTACCCACAAACAGCTGAGACACAATCTGTCATCCAACTCAGAGTATTCCCCATAGCTTTGAAGGTCACTCACTTTCCTCTATTTCTCCTAATTCAAACGCATCATATTATTACATATCTTTCTCTTACTAACTACAATGATTAATCACGGACAGAAAAAAAAAAGATTCAGATAGAACTTTCTCAACAAAGTTAACTTCTTTGGAGTGTCACTTGAGATTTATGCAATATCTCCTTTATTCCGTTTTGCAGTTTGAGGAGGTGGTCTACAAAGTTAAACTGGAATCGAAAGGATCATGCTGGGGAGGTACATGGCACGGTAAAGAGAAAACTATACTGAATGGGATATCAGGAATGGTTTGCCCAGGAGAGATCCTGGCTATGTTGGGTCCATCAGGCAGTGGTAAAACCACCCTCCTTACAGCCCTCGGAGGCCGGCTCAACGGGAAGTTGTCAGGAAAGATCACATACAACGGACAGCCGTTTTCTGGTGTCATAAAGCGGCGCACAGGGTTTGTAGCCCAAGATGATGTTTTGTATCCACATCTAACTGTGACTGAAACTCTCATGTTCACTGCACTGTTAAGGCTTCCCAAAACTTTAACCTGGGAAGAGAAAGCCCAGCATGTGGAACAGGTTATAATTGAGCTGGGATTGACTCGCTGCAGAAACAGCATGATAGGTGGCCCACTGTTTAGAGGAATATCAGGAGGAGAGAAGAAGAGGGTGAGCATAGGACAAGAGATGCTAATCAACCCGAGCTTACTACTACTAGATGAGCCTACATCAGGTTTGGACTCAACCACAGCTCAGAGAATTATTACAACGGTCAAACGGCTAGCTGATGGGGGCAGAACAGTAGTTACCACCATTCACCAGCCTTCAAGCCGATTGTACCACATGTTTGATAAGGTAGTTTTGCTCTCTGAGGGATCTCCAATCTATTATGGTCCTGCATCAGCTGCCTTGGATTACTTCTCCTCCATCGGTTTCGCCACATCCATGACCGTCAATCCATCTGATCTCTTACTTGATCTCGCCAATGGTAATTTCTGAAGTGTTCCACTACTTTTTCTATTTAATTTTAGGTTAAATACACTTGTATATCCAAAACTTTCACGATTGTGCCAATAATATCCAAATTTCCCGAAATACCACTTATATCCAATTCCTTCACATTCTTTAACAGTGTTTTTGGATATACAAGTGTATTTAACCAAAAATATATTGGAAAATGGATAGATTTGGCAAAGAACAACTTTAAAACATGGATATAAGTGGTATTTCAGGAAATTTGGATATTATTGGCACAACCGTGAAAGTTTTGGATATACAAGTGTATTAAACCTTAATTTTATAATAAGTATGGTAATTCCTAGCTTTGTCTTTCTCCTATTCTTTCATATTTTCAATAATCTTTGTCAATTACAAAAACATCTTACACTTGGAACTAAATTGCAGGTATTCCTCCCGATAGGAATGGAGGTGATCAAGGTGAGAACATGGAAAAGGAGCAGAAGCTGGTGAGGGAAACTCTTATTTCTGCTTACGAGAAGAACATTTCAACAAGTCTAAAAGCGGAGCTGTGCAATCTGGATGTCAATAGCTTCAGCTACATAAAAGACACCCCTGCAAGTAAGTATAAAGTATATTTTATCCCCTTGTCCCAAAATTCAACCTGTCTCTAGTGGGATTCTAAGTTTCAACCATGTATAAATGTATAGGATCTCACCATTATATATAATAAAAAAAATTGTATAGGAAAAAATACCAATTCAGAGGAGTGGTCTACAAGCTGGTGGCATCAGTTCAAGGTGCTATTTCAGAGGGGATTGAGGGAGCGGCGCTTTGAATCATTCAACAGACTGAGAATTTTCCAAGTCATCAGTGTTGCAGTACTTGGCGGGCTCCTCTGGTGGCAAACCCCAACATCTCACATTGGGGACCGAGTAAGAATTCAATCTATAGCATCATCAAGTACATTTACGATTGCTACCATTGACTATGGTTCAATAGATTCTTTGAACCTCAACAACGTATCAATTATCATATACTTAGTGAACCTTGGACTTGGAGTACCAGCCATATAACTCTAGTTGCACGCAGATAGCTAGTGATATATAAACTTATGGTCGTGGTTTCTCTTATATACTGATGCAGTGTTTGACTTCATATGCAGACGGCATTGTTGTTCTTCTTCTCAGTGTTTTGGGGCTTCTACCCTCTCTACAATGCAGTTTTCACATTCCCCCAAGAAAGGAGAATGCTGATCAAGGAGCGGGCATCTGGAATGTATCATCTATCATCCTACTTTCTAGCCAGAACCTTTGGTGACCTGCCATTGGAGCTTGCACTCCCTACAGCATTTGTTTTCATAATCTATTGGATGGGAGGCCTTAAACCTGATCCCATAACTTTCATACTGTCCCTGATTGTGGTTCTCTACAGTGTCCTGGTCTCCCAAAGTCTAGGATTAGCAATTGGTGCTATTCTTATGGACATAAAACAAGCCACTACACTGGCATCCGTTACAACCCTGGTCTTCCTCATTGCTGGTGGGTACTACGTGCAACAGATACCTCCATTTATTGTTTGGCTCAAGTACTTGAGCTACAGCTACTATTGCTACAAGCTTCTTCTTGGAGTGCAATACAAAGAAGATGATTACTATGAGTGTTCAAAGGGAGTCTTGTGCCGGGTTGGAGATTATCCTGCCATCAAATCAATGGGGCTGGACAATTTGTGGATGGACGTGTGCGTTATGGCTTTGATGTTGGTAGGTTATCGACTCATTGCATACTTCGCACTTCATCGAGTACAGTTGAGGTGAGTTTAGCAATGCTTCGCTTCTACAAGGAAGACACTTTGACGAGTTTTCTCATCTTTCTACAGAGAAATAATGTTAGATGTAGGTTCGAGGCCAAGGTTTGAAGATTTTGATGAATTTTTCCCCTAGTTAATGGATGGTCAGACCTATCTGTCATACTTGGATCTCATAATCCTAACTTAGGCATATTGATATCAAAATTAAACATATTAAGATTTAAGATACAGATGTAACAAGCACATCTCATGTTGCTGGCAAAGTGAGGGGGGGAAAGGCAGAAAGTGATTGGACATTGTCCTCAAAATATTCCATAGAACTGTTCTCTGCACAGTTGTTTTGAGGAAGGAATCGTTCTCAAAGCCAAAAAGTCGCTTTTTTACTCTAATGGCTTCCAGTCAATGCATCGATAACAATTTGACAGGATAAAGGGGGCTGCCAAAAGACCAGGACGATGGGCAGGACAAACTAGAGAAAAATAGTTGCTAACTGGGAACCAAAGTGTAATGAGCAATCGATAGTGACAGGCAGTAATCTGTCGAACAGAAAAGTAGCAAGATAACTCACTTTTACTTAAGTGAAGCACTCAACTATGATGTGAGACACAGTGAATGGAGAGAGATAAAAGCGAGTTTGAACTCCACTTAGTCGTCAAAGACGTGTAGATAATCCTGTGATTCTTCTTAACCCCATGGGTCAAGCAATGATAGACATAGGTAAAAGGAAACGAAAACCCTAAAATTGAAGTTTGACTGATGATAATTTAGCAATTTAACCAAATAATAATTAAGACCCCATTACCACCACCATGATTCACAATCACAATCAGGGTAAATGACGCAAGCAGAAAGCACAGACAAAAAAAAATCGAGAACAACAATTCGCGGCTGAAGTTAAAAAGGGCGAAAATCAACTGATAAAGCATAGCAGAAACGAAATACCTCAATTTCCAGTATTACGAGCTTGTTTGCTGGTGGTTGAGCTCTCACGCGTCGTCCCAATATAACACACTGGCTCTGTTCCTTGCAATTTTCCATTGGAAGCTTCAAAACCTGGAATCAAGAAAGGAGGAGCAAATCAAGGTAGTACCTTCAAAATTGAGAGGGGAGGAACCGGGGGTTTCTATACACCATACCTCCAATTGGCGTTCGTTACAATTTTGAAATCGTTCTGAAATATGAATCAGAACTGCAATCTCGAGGCTGAAGAACAATTCGAGGACCGAAGCTAGGATTCAGATCAAGTTGCAAAGCTAACAGCAGAGATCGTTGAGACCCCGTTCGAACGCCATGCAGAGCCTGCGTATGTCTCTTTCTCCATTGCACCACTTAGCTTTTTTAAAAAAATTGTTTCTCCCATTCTTCTACAATGACCGAAGACAAGGCTAATTAGCATAAACTCACAAATATTTGTAGTTAATACTAAATGGTCACAAATGTTCAACTTTAACAAAATGGTAAATACTATGCTAAAATAATCATTTCGTCTTTCTTCATCTAAAAATCTTTTAATTTAGTCCAATTAGTCATCTTATCAACACACGTCTCATCGAAATTATTAATGAAAAACAAACAAAATCAAAACTAATTAAAAGTCCTAACCAACCGAACTATCGTCGAAGAACGACTAAACTGCTAGAGACGGTGGCAAAGATGGCGAAAGACCGATCTATTAGAAACTTAAGGGTTTCGTCGGGTGACCCGGGTTGGGTGGGGCTTGTTGCGATGGTGACTCCAAACACGTGGATCTTGACTTAGAATAAGTTTTGATGCCTCTCAGTGCTCTCATACAAAGAATTGCAGAGGAATGTGAAGCGGAAAAAGGAAGTTCTGAGTCCATCTCGATGGCGGCAATTGTGGAGATGGTGGCTGAGAGGGAGAGATGAATTGGTCAGATTGGATTGGGGTGCTTGGTTGATTAGAGGTTTTAATTGGTTTTGGTTTTGTTTTTATTAAATCATTTTGATGACGAGGATGCTGACCATACAAATGTTTACTTTAAACAATCCGAAAGTTCCACAACATAGTAGTTTTCTAGGGGGTACTCAACTACTTTCCTCTGTCTTCGTTGTTTAATTCGCTCATCAAGTCCAAAAATTATGGTCTGCACTCTGCACATCCTTTTGCTCCTTCTTCTCCACTCCTCCCTACAATGCCTCCATGCTAGTCTCCCTCAAAACCCCAAACTCATACTTCGACTTTGTCGTTCATCCTTCTCAATGTTGTGTCTCGAGCTTGGTGAAGAAGTCCACGGATGACTGTCCTCGTCTGACTATTGGTCTTCAACACCTTGGGATTGCCAACCCGTACATGATCGCATTGCTAGCTGCTCAAGATGATATGTACTTGATTCGTAACATCTTTCTCTATGGAGTCACATTCGAAGAGGATTTTAAAGTCACGATTCTCCATCTCCTTAGGGCAATAGAATATGATGCAACCAGAGGATTAGTGTTCAGAAATGGCCTACCTACGAATGATAGCTGCTCTAAATATAAATTGGATTTTTGTACAATCTCTAAGACATTAATTTTTTTTTATAGATAAGGGTGACATCAGTTGGTTTTTATAGTTAAGTGCTACTGAAAGGGGGTTCGAATATGGAATCTACAGGTTCAAAACTAATAGTATTACCATCAGATCAAATCATTGTTACGGTCACTAAGACTATAAATTGATTTGCCTAAAGCATGACAAAAGAAACTATTTTTAAAATTGCTCTCATTAGATTTTAATAATGGGTGGACTAGTTTGTAAATGAGTGGCGCTGTTTCGTGTTTTATATTTTTCATGTCTCGTTACAAAAAAAAAATAAGGGCAGACTTTGGTGACCTCTACTGTAATTTACCCATCCTTCTTAGTCGCCGCCGCTAGGCAAAACGACGAGGGCGGTTGTTTTACTGCCAGACGGGGAAGCGCAACGCAACTGTGGATTGGTGCGAGTCCTTTTTTTCTGTTTCTCAACAAGGTGAATTGGGATCGGGAGTCGTTTAAGGAAGGAACATCGAGTTGAGGAGCACGGATTTTGAGAATCGGCAGAGGAAGAATGGAGGGAGAAGAAGGAGGAGGGCTACGGCTGAGCAAGCGAATCAACAATGGAGAAGTTGATTACAAGACCAAGTCCGGCACCGCCTGGAGCCACTCCTTCCTCAACCAGAAGCCATGGCATCCTCTCTCATATCCTAACCAGCGCCGCAAGTGGATCGCCGAGCAGACCACCGCCCAGCAACAACGCCGCAACGAGGAAGTTGCTCGCGAGGTTTCTAACCGATCCCCCAAACCCTATTTTTTTTCTCTTTTTTCCCCTACGAACCCACCGTCCCTCTTCTGGAATTCGAATTGAAGTTGATGTATTTGGTTTTTTCTTTTACAGTATGCTCAAGAGCAAGAATTCTTCCGCCAGACATCTCTCATCTCCCAGAAAGAGAAGGAAAAGGTATTTCATTCGACTGTTTAGCTAGCTCATGCTTGAAATTTAGAATGAGCTTGTCTCGTCAGCTTGACAAACCATGGAAATGTTCGTTCATTGTCTTGTCAACTGAAGTTATCAACCTTTTGTACTACGTTAGGGAGGTTTTGTAGGCCATTAGTTTCTGTTACTGGGTTGAAGGAAGAGCAATTCTTTGGCTCTTATTTGAAGGGGTGGTTTGTTTTAACCCGCTCACTTGTGGCTTTTTTTTATGTTGGCAACGATGTGATTAGCAGTTCCATCAGTTATTGGCTTCTTTTACGTGCTTTTAATGTTCAGCATGTGATGATGCGTAGATCGAGATGATGCAAGCTGTTAGTTTCATGTACATTCGCCCACCTGGCTATAATGCTGAAAGTGCCAAGGCAGCGGAGCTTGCTGATGGGGATAAGAAAAAGGTGCAAGATAGTACCCAAATGGACCCGACTGTTGGGTGAGCTTCCTCTGTAATTTACTTGTATCACAATGTTAATCTTGTTTTTTTGCTTGATCATGGAATTCACTTCCATTGAGGACTTCCGGTGGCATTAGTGTGTGCTTGTCTCTTTCAGTAACTTCTAGTAAAATTTAAAAGAAATCAATTGTTTCTCAGGGAATTAGAAAATCTGCCCAGCCAGGGTCTCCCAGTTGAAGAGAAGAAGAAACCAAGGCCTAAAGATGTTTTTGGCCGCACGTTGCCCACTGAAGAACAGTTTGAAGTCCTAAAAAATGCTCCAAAGTATGTACGTTGTATATATGTTGCCATTTACTATATTATACGGAAAGTCGGAATTCATGTTCTCAAATCTAGTGTCAAAATAGAAAGGAAGTTGCTCTAATGTGATTGCACTGTGGTAATAGTTATCATATTGCTGGGCTGCTTTAGATGATGAAATGTCACTGCAATTCCTCTTTATGTATAGCTCATCATAAGGCTTGCCATTTGAGGAGCTTGAGTCTTCATAAATTTTCGTTGTTACTTCAATTCAATAGCTCATATAGGAGTTGCGAAGGAATGGTAGAATCCTTATGCTTAATTTCCACTTACAGAACTAGACTTAACATGGCATGTTTTCTCATTTTGTTTTGTGTAACTCTTTTACTTTTCTGGTGTTGAACTGATACAAGCCGATAGTTAAAGCAAATTAACTAAGAGCATGTGATGGTGCTTATATTCTCGTGTGTTTGAAGTTCACACTATAAATGCAGATTAGCCCCTGTATTGTGTGCATATACTGTCAATACTCATATCTAATGTTGGTATATTCAGGCTAGATACTGGTGTTGCGTCAAGGTCAAAACCATTTGGAATTGAAATACGAAATGTGAAGTGTGTAAGATGTGGAAACTTTGGTCACCAAAGTGGTGATCGTGAATGTCCACTGAAAGATGCTATAATGCCAAATGAGGAGAGCCGTCTAAAACGAGATGATCCATTGACTGCCATCATCGCTCAGATGGATCCAACTGAGGTAAGCCCTTCTAATTGACCACTCTCAAACCATATGGATGTCGGATTTTAGTGCATAAGATTTGGTGTTCTATTCGAAGATAGGAGTTGTTGGGGGGAGGGAGGATGTTTTGGGTTTGTCTTGTAGCCAAGCAAGATTACTAGGATTCTAACAATACATTGGATGTGTGATTGATTTTAGGAAGGTATGTGCTTAAGAACACGTTTCCTTTATTATTTTAGGAGGGTTTGGGTTCATGTTGCTACTTCTATGGACCTTACCTTTTTCCAATGGAATTATGGAACCTGCTTTTAGGTTGTATTATCCAAATCTTTGGTTGGTAAGAAACAGAGTTCTGCAGTGAATGATATATGTTTCTTAGTTCACGAGGCTTACGCAAATGGTCTATCTTCAAAACAGGTCAAGGATAAAAAAATGATTTTTATTTTTTATTTTTGAATCCACTGAGGCAGAATGCTTGGTTGTTTTGTCTTCTAAACGGATTGTTCAAAAGAGTTGCTTGGAATCTTGAAAATTCTGCTCAAAGCCTTTACTGAGATGTCAGCTCCGTCTCCACGGACAAAAGGATGTTTCTAGTCGAGGTATTTGAACTAGTTTGACCCATTCTAAAGATGTCTCCTAGTCGTTTAAGATTGCCAAGGTTCACATCTCTTCTGGTAAAAAGATGTTTCTTTGGGTTAAAAGGGTTAATAATCCGTAAATTAGTGGCATTCACTCAAAATCTGTGTCACAAGGAGCGAAGATAAGGGTGGTGGGCAGTGGGTCTGGGAAAGAAATATTTTGTTTCTGGAGAAAATGTAAGTTTCTTACTGCGATGGTTGCTGCGGAAATATCTGAAGAAGTTTCTTTATCTCTCATTTATATTTAAAATTTTGAAGATATGTGCAGAGGTAAAGATATGTGAAGAAGTTTATTTATCTCATTTGTATTGACAATTTTGTTTAACTTGTATAGCCGCTAAAGTGGGAGCTGAAGCAAAAACCAGGGATGAGTCCTCCACGAGGAGGTTTTAATCCAGATGATCCTAATCAGCAGATCGTTGCAGAGGACATATTTGATGAATATGGAGGTATGTGAACTTCCACCTTTCCCTAGACTATCATTGTATTCTCATTTCGGTATGTTTTCTTTCTGCTGCAGCTCTCATTCTTGTTGTATTACCACCAAATTGTGCAGGCTTTCTCAGCGGTGGAGCTATCCCCGATTTGCTAACCAACTTTTCCCCTGGCAAGCTTAAAAAGAAGTCCAAGAGTCATAAACGCAAGATCAAGTCATCATCAAGCAGAGAAAGAAGAGTGGACGAAGAAAATGCTTTATCCTTTTCCTCTTCAGATAGTGAGGAGCGGAGATCAAAGAAGGAAAAGAGGAAAAAGAAGAAGAATAAGAAAAGGGAACAAAAGTCGAAGCACTCTGATCCAAGTTCGTTGGATGATTTGGTGGTTGTTGATAGGCACTCCGAGAAAAGCAGGCACATGAATTATCCAGCAGAAGATTCAGAATACAAGAAGCATCACAGAAGTGAAAAGTCAGGGAAGAAGCATAGTCGCTCCTATGAAGAAGACTCGGACAGAGACGAGAGAAGTAAGAGGGGCAGGAAATCTCAGCCATCTTCTTCTAGCTATAAAGATCATGGAAGCAAGAGCAGCAGCAGGCATAGGCAGTCTCACAGGTTTTCAGGTGATGATGATTCCGATCCTGACAGGCATTCCCGAGGGAAACACAGTGGTTCAAGAAGACATTTGCAGTCGTCTCACAGGCATTCGGTCGACGATTTGGATTCTGACAGGCATCGCAGAAGCAAACGGAGCTCTCACCGTCGGGACCGGTATGACTGATTCAACCTCGTCGTGGATTTATGGGTCGAGCTGCATTTCACGCGAAATTGATCCCGTCTTTTGAGCTCTATTGTAATGTAACCCAGAAAAGGGGAAACAAATCAAACGACAGAGGAAACGTTGTGATGTATCTGTATTATATCAGGATCATAAGTTTATCGGAATGTTCAATGATTGGTGATTAAAATTGGTTAAAAGGAAAAGATTGATGATTGAAAGAACCAAATTTTATTGAAAGACATCTGAAAGACTGGTGACTGAAAGATCTAATAAATATCATATTAGGACAACTAAATTACAGATAAGTATAAAAAAGCAATTAAGTAATTGAGATGGAGCTAAATGTAAAATGTTCAAACTAGGAGGACAAATGTGCAAACCTCCAACTGGCAACTGCACCTTTAAATTAGTTGTGAACTTGGAGCAACTGCGGAATCTGCGAACTGGATCCTCTACTCGACCCGAAAATTTGAGCCGACGAGAAGCAAGAGAATGGCGGTAGGAAAGATGCTGAAGAAGGCATTGGTGCAGCACCCGGCGTACGCATCAAAAGGAAGCATCGTGAATTCCCAAATCAAAGCGAAGGTCACTCCGCCCTCTTCGTCTCAGTTGGGTCAGTTCCTTGGGATTCCTGAACCCACTCGTTCCGATCTTTCCAGGCTCATCTCCCGGTTCATCAAGCTCAACAATCGCCAGGTCCGTTCCCCGTCTCTTTCTCACGAATTTCTTCGTCGAATGTCTGTCAATTTGAAGCTGTCCGCTAAGTGTTCGATAAAATGCCTCACAGAGGGCGTTGAGTTGTGGCCCTAAGTCGGATTCAGTTCAAGCTGGGGTGCGTGATGGGTAAACTGTAGAATTACTCCAACCCTTGCATTTTGCTTGCAGAATCCTGGAATGAAGAAGGATAATTTCACTGAAGATAAGCTGAAAGCGCTACTGGCTGGCAAGGAAAGAGTTGGTATCCCTGAAATAGCAAAGCTGCTCTCCCAGCAATTCGTCAAATCTCGCTGAAGTATGCCTGCCTGCCTGGCTTCACCCACGTAGTAAGACTTCCAAGTGCTCTTCCAGCTTGGATGCATAAGTAGCAAAAACCCATCTCCAATATCAAACTGCACCTTTAACTATTGCTTTTGGTTTTCTACAAGCATTGAAAACTCGGTATATTTTCGCGGGGCTCCTCTCCCTTGAGGTGGGGCAACCACTTTCCTTTGTGCTTGCTTGCTTGTTGAATGAATTTAGATAGCGGTTGCTGGTCGTCATTCATCAACACTATCATAATTGTTCCTGGTAGAAGGTAACTTTGGCACTTTCTTTGAATCTTCTTCTGGCGTTCATGGTTGTGTATCATGCTGTGCTGCTGGACTAGGAAATGGGAGTGAATCAACTTGAAAGTGAACATTTTCGCAGGGGAGGACGTCGTTTCTCGTCTTTTATTAGAAAAGCAGCGTAGAGCTTGAGTTTCATAGGATCCTCATTCCTCAGGGTTGCATTCTCGCTTAAGATCGTTCTTGTTATTCTGTTCTTAAGTCTAGACTCTTGAGATGATTGATCCATCAGGGTTGCTGTAGAAATTCTAGGTTGCTCGAGTTTCTTCGATAAGCAGGTTGCTGGAATTCAGACGACACCAGGGGAAATTGAGAATGATTGAATTCTTAAGATTTTCATAGCACCCTGATCCTGATGATGTCTAGAGTTCAACGATTCTATTACATGGAGAAGTTACAAGTTTAAGAAAATGACTGTCACTCTTGTGAAACTAAATACTTGCATTAGCAGGGAGAATAAATAACAGAAAATCCCTTATTGTCTAGCATCTTGATCTGGTTTGTGGATGCCAACCATGACTCTGCAACTAATTCTTTGTATGTGGTCTCTCTGCTAGACTGCTAGTGTAAGGTGCTCCATTTACTTGCCTTTGAGGCCGAACCAAGGTTGTCAGCTCGCAGGTCGATCCGCCGGTTGGCCCACTTTGATCCTGACCCGGTGAGAAAAAACGGGTCGTATAGACCCTCCGGGTCGACCGGCTGCAAGGTATCGGATTGGAGGTCAAACCACATATTTTTTCCTTTATTTTGAGAAATGCGCTTATTTTCCGATTTTTCTTTTTGCTTAACCCAATCTTTGGAATTCTAAGTTAACATTTGAACATTAATGTTATATAAGTATGTGTGAATTTTCACTATATATTGGATCCAAGTATGCCATGTTATTTTGATGTAATGTTACTAGATGAGATTTCATATAATTTATATATGTATGAACAATATAATGAGTTTACCTATATATATGGGTTAAACCGGGCTAAAGTGATCGGCCCATTAACCCTCATCCCACTTGTTCGACTGGGCCAACGGGCTAAATCAGGTTGACAAACTTGAGCTGAACCAAACCCCGTGCTCCAAAGCTAGTAGTCCATAAAATGATATGAGGGATGTATAGATTCCTAGAAGAAGAGAGTCGCAGAAGTCCGTTCCAATAGTCCAAATCCCACGAGTGAATACAAAGTTTGATCCACGTTGGATATCATCTCAAGGGGTCGAAGACTAATAAGTGAACTATATAGGATATATTGCAAGGTTGGTCACTGAAAGTGCTAAAATATTCACGTTTGGTCACTGAAAGAATTTTATTCCATTAGTGGTCACTGAAAGTGATTAACATTTCACGATTGGTCATTCTGGGTTAGTTTCCATTAACACCGTTAGTGGTTTGCTGACGTGGCAACCAAAAATGCCGATTCATCCAATTTTGACCTGCGATGTCATAAAACTTGACTTGCCACATTATAATACCCAACACACTGTCAGAGCATAACTCAACCCAATTCAACCCGTGACATGTCCACAAAAAATTGAAGGAACCCAAATCTCTCCACATCCCTTGATCTCCCCCATCTCTTCTCAACCTTTCCCCTCTTCTTCTTCCTCTGTTTGCGCCACGCCTCCTCCTCGCCATCGCCTGCCGCCCTCTATCGCCCAAGCATCCTTCCAGGAAATCTTCCTTGTCGTCGCTAGACCTCCCTCCGGTGCTGCTCATCATCTTCTCAAGACGGGACCCCCAAGGCAAGGAGAAATCGTCATTTCTATCCCAGAAAGTGTTGTTGCTATCCTCTCTGTCTCCCCACCATTGATAACTTCACCTCCGCACTCCAGTTCCGCACCACGCCGACGCCGATTGGACCTCCAAGAATATCCCTCCGCCTTCACTAGTCAAGCTAGGATTGGAAGAATCGCCTCTTTGCCCCGTCGATTTCAGACTCGGCGAGCGAAACTAACTCTAGAGACAGTCGGGGCCAGAATCCAAGGGTGGTGGCCAACCTCTGTCTTCGCCGGTGAAAAATCTGGACAGCGGATTCCATCTTTGATATGTTCGTTGACGATCTGTGTTCCTGAATAGAAGCAGCAACGTCGCCGCGTTTGGGAGTGCCTCGTTTTGGGGTTCCGTCGTGTTTTGGGAGTACCTGGGTTTGAGAGTAAAGATGAGAGGAGGCAAGGGCGATCGACTTTGAGGAAGAGCTGATCTCTAGAAGCATCAGCCCCCTCGGCTGGGATTTGGAATCAGAAGATTGAAACTCCTTCTTTCCTTCCTTTTGGTCACCGTCGACGGGGTTTCTAGATCTTCAATGCTACAAAACTCAACATTCACGGTTGTATAGTCCCCCCCCCCTTTTGGTGACGTTGAGCGGAATACACATCGGGCTGCTACTCTTGAAGGCCTGGCAGAGATCGGTTGCCGATGGTGTTGTTGAATCCCTTTGCGATGGTTGATGGCGACAGTGGGGATTAGAGGTCGATGGCGGCCGAGAAGAAGGGACTAAAAAGGTGGGTCAGAATGGGGTTTTCATTTGGGCCAATCGAGTTTTAGGCCGGGCGGGTCAATAAGGGAGGGTTGGGTCATGGGTTAGGTTGGGTAATCTGACATGGCGGGTAAAACTGACGTGGCATGTCCGGTTTTGTGATGTGACAGGTCAAAAGTGGATGAATCAGCATTTCTAGTTGCCACGTTAGCAAACCACTAACGGTGTTAATGAAAATTAATGGAGAGTGACCAATCGTGAAACGTTAACCACTTTCAGTGACTATGAATGAAATAAAATTGTTTTAATGACCAAATGTGAATATTTTAGCATTTCTAGCGACCAACCTTGCAATTTACCCGAGCCAACCAATTAGGTTGCTGGAATGTGGTGAAAGTATTTTACAATGAAGAAATTTATGCATTTAGTATTTAGGAGGGATGCGATAACCAAACGTTAATTTCGTGTTAGCAGTTTTGTTAGTAATGCTGATTTGGCAACATGAAACTGAGTTGGAAAAGACATGTGACGATCAGACATTTCAAAATTTCAGTATTTTAATTAAGAAAATATTTAAAAATTTCTAATGGTTACAAACAAATGGTTAATATTTTGATACGTTATAAAAAATTCAGGTAATATTTTGTATTTTGAAAAATTTGCCGGATAATTTGAAATGTTTAACTAATAAATTAATATAAAACTTTTCAATTAAGATTTAAGGGCATTATCTAGTTGTAATATTAATATCACTCTAGTCAATGAACATTTAACCCCTAACTACAAAAATAATGTATCACCTACATAAAAAATCTACTTTTTTATATAATAAACAAGGGAGGTTACAGTTACTCGGCCAATAGATACGGCTAGGGGTGGGCAATGGGCGGGTTGGGTGGATTTTGGTCTAAAATTGGCCCACCCGCTTACTAGCGGGTTGGAATCTATGTGACCCGCAGTCCACCCACATACTTATGCGGGTTGGGTGGGTGGCGGATGGGTGCGGTTGGGTCGCGGGTTAACCAGCAAAAGCAATTCTCCAACTAGCCATTAAGAAAATTGACTAACATTAATAATAAGTTCATAGCAAATTAGTAAGATTGTATCAATAATTTGTGATTTTGATACAATTAATAATTTATAGTTTGTATCCCAATATTTAATGGATATTAATAATAATTTGCATACCAATATCCATTGCCAATGGATATTGCACAACACAATAACCAATAATAGTAGTCAAAACTATTCTTTATTCTCCACCTTTTGAAGTATATGGTCAGACTATAGTGCAGTTTTAAAATATGATAACATTCGATACTATAAGAAACAACATTTTTCCATGTAAAAATAGGACGCGGGTCATACGGGTGACCCGCAATCCACCCACCATCCATCCACATAAGTGCGGGTGGGAGATTTAACAATCCGCAATCCACCCACATGATCACCCATTGCGTGCGGGTCGAATTATTTGCGGGTGGATCGATATCAATCTTCGGATTAACCACCCACGTGCCCACCCCTAGATACGGCGGATGGTGAGGGAGGATTTCGCTCATGATCGGGCTGGTGCTGTGCTTGAAGATGCTCGGGTCTTGGTTTCTCAATTCAGTTGGACCTCTTTCTATTTTGTTTCTCGTCGACTTAATAGGGCCGCCCATCTTGTGGCACAACAAGCCCTCTCATCGGGAGTTCGACTATTGGTCGACTCCCACACTTTGCTTGACTCCTCTGTTTAACTCTTGTTACCCCTATCTTTGAGAAAAGAAAAAAAAAAAAAAAACAAGGGAGGTTAGAGTTACTCGGCAAAATGGAATGGATCACGTTCAGTCGTTCACGTCCCAGTTGTTGTCAATCGTATTAATGAATTAATTAATCCACTAATTTGTAGTATATAAATATACTTCAACGATCGAAGATTTCTCTTTGATTTCCGGCGTTCCTCTTCGGCAAGAAATCTTTCTCAAGTCGCAATACAAGAAACAGCGCCGAAAACTACAGCCGAATCTCCCCTCTCTCGGTGAGTAATCCGTTCTAACTCCGATGTCGACAGTCTTATTGCGTTTCTGTGATCTCTGTAGCGACCCATTCTTCCCCTATCCCATTTCCACCCATCACGAGATCTACAATCCCTTTTGACCCCCTTTTTCTGCATTTAAAACCCTTTTCTGGGTTCTTTCCAGTTTTTCTCTTTCGTATCCGGTTCTAGCTCTGTTATTCTTCCTTTTGATGGTTTTGATTTTGATTTCTGGGTTGTGACAGAGAAGCAAGACAATGGGAGGTGGGAAAGATAAGCATAGTGAGGATCAAGATAAGGGATTGTTTGGTCATCTGGGAGGACATGGAGCTCCTCCACCTGGTGCCTACTACCCTCCGCCGCCTGGTGCATACCCTGGAGCTCCTGTTCCTCACGGCTACCCTCCAGCACAGGGCGGCTACCCACCTCAAGGGTATCCTCCGCAGCAGGGCTACCCTCCACAAGGGTATCCTCCTCAGGGCTACCCTCCTGCCGGTTACCCCTCTGGATCTTCTCACCAAACTGGTAAATGTTCCAGCTTTACATCTTGGATATTGCTCGTTGACTTGGAACTAGGGTTGTTTTGGCAAATGGTGCATCATGTTTGTGTATCTCTGTGTGTGTGATTTGGTGGTGGCGCTTGTGATGGTTTTTGCTGCTCAATTGTGTTGTTTGTGAAATGGGATGTTTCTGTTTGGGCCCAGATCACCCTTTTTTTTCCCAATTATGTTGTACTCTGGCTGTTCTAGGGAATTGCAGTTTTGGACACCCAATGGTGGAGATTACAGAGTTGAATTGTGGGTAAATCTTGCTGGTTGTGTTCTTGTATTTAGGGCCTTGTTCGATTCGAAACCTTTGCTCTCTCAATGGTGGAGATTACAGAGTTGAATTGTGGGATTAGTGATTGGTAGTAAAAGGAGCATTCTTTGTGTAAACATTATTGATTCTTGTGATTACTAATGAGGATACGTTCCCAGGACACGGCGGGCTAGGGGCAGTGATTGCTGGGGGTGCAGCAGCAGCTGCAGCTGCTATGGGTGTTCACCATGTTAGCCAGAGCGGCTACGGGTACAGTGGCGGCCATGGTGGTGGTGTTTACCATGGCGGCGGGTACGGGCATGGACATGGTGGCAAGTTCAACCACGGGAAGCATGGCGGCAAGTTCAAGCATGGCGGCAAGTTCAAGCACGGGAAGCACGGGAAGGGGAAGGGCGGAATGTTCGGAGGAGGCAAGTTCAAGAAGTGGAAATGATCGATAACACACACCAGATGCAATGGGTGGGCGACTAAGAAAACTTCTATATCCATAGACGTGCATCCTTTGCATCTCACAATTCAATAAAAATTCAAACAAGTTGATGATCTATGTCTTGTGTTGGTGACTGATATCGGTATGCTATTTGATCAAGTTTCTGAACAGAGGTTAATGTTTTTGGGGCTGATCCGGCCTCTGAGCTCTGGCCGAAATGAATTCGCAGCCTTGGTATATCTTGTACAGAAGAACTCCTGTGCCATGGGTTTTCTTGGAAGGATAATGTGGGTGCTGCAATTCTTATGTTTGTTTCTTGTTACAATTTCACTGTTGTCGACCCGTTCCCTGAATTTCTCCCTTCCAATATCAGTGTTTCTTTCTGCAGGCACCTTTTTCCTCACATTTTGTTTGAAGTCTCGTGATCATTTTGCTTATGGGTGGTAGAACAGCACAACATTCTCCTTCTGTGCCGACGAACACACAGTAAGTAGCCCGCTCTGTAACCTCCAGCAGGATCGGGGTTGAAAACTAGTTCTGTAGTCTGAATCCGATCAATGCTTGAGAGATGTCGGAGTTGCCTCGCCTTCATCTTCTTAACGAGCCGCGTTGTCTCCTTCTTTATGGGTGAGATTGCCATCACTCTGAAGCTATGGTGGAGCACTGGTTAGTTTCAGCTTCTCCCCAACTTTCGGAGGGTTTGTTCGCTGACAGCCCGCTGTTTACCGACCTGTCGTAAAACGAATCTTGTTATGTAGAAAGACTCGCATTTTGAGGATGTTGCGAACGACATCGTGAGAGGAGGAAGATTGACAGTGGTCTAATTGCTTATCAAGTTCACAACTATTGAAGCTCCATTTGTTTCACAAGTGACACCATTGTTCTTCCCAAGCAAAGAAGAACAATTCCTATTTGCTTGCCGTACAAGGGTTAGGTTAATTGAACTCTTAATCCTAATATAGTAGGGATTATTAACCAATCTGATTAATTTCGGTCCGTACAAAAAAAAAAAAAAAAAAAACCTTGCTGTACAAGGGTTTTCGGTCGCTATAAGTGAACGGAATTTCTCTTTTTCCTTCCTTCCAGAAAGAAAAACATCGAGGAGCAGTGCATTCCGATTAGGTTTCTGACCCGGGACCTATCCAGCCGGTCAAAGGCCCGACTCGAGGTTCAACCAACAGGTTCAACTGTCCGGGTCGACCGGGGGTTCAATTGATAGCATAACATTGAGCAGGAGGAGTGTGTTAGCCGTGCGCCGTAGGTTTTCGCGTCGAACTCGAATCTCTCTCTCTCTCTCTCTCTCTGCCCGTTTCTCTTCAGCGTAAGGGCGGCTGCCTATCCTTTTCCTAATTCCTTCCACAAATCGTTCAGTTGTTTGATTTATAATTAGGGTTTTTCTTCACTCCGTTGTCTGTTTCCCGATTATCAGAGAGCAAAGCGGCAACACAGCAGACGGGCAGTAGGAGAGCAAAATTCGTCGCCGAGAAGATGTCGGATCGTCTGACGAGAATCGCGATTGTCACTCCCGATCGCTGCAAGCCGAAAAAGTGCCGCCAGGAGTGTAAAAAGAGCTGTCCAGTTGTGAAAACTGGTTTGCCCCGCCCGCAACTCTATCCCTTCTCTTTGCGATCTGTTTCTGGTTCTTTACGGTTTCTTAATCCCGCATCATCGAGAGCAAAGGATTGGAGAGGCGGGGTCTCGTTTTGGTTTTCTGTAGTTCCATGCTCAATTTACTCTATGGATTTCAACTAGAACGGATTTTAGTTTTGGATTTTTGGTGGATTTGGATTGGAACGACTGGATGATGGAAATGAGCTTTTCTTGTCGTTTATCATGTATCCTTGCAGCTGCTTTGTGCTTTTTCCCCTCATCGGGGTTGTATTTTTTTGAACAGGAAAGTTGTGTATTGAGGTTGCTTCTTCATCTAAGATAGCATTCATCTCTGAGGAATTGTGCATTGGGTGCGGTATCTGTGTTAAGGTTTGCACAGTTTGACTGGAATAACTTTCTGGTTTCTTGTTCGTTTCTCGAGTCATCAGCTATAGCCTGAATGGGTGATTGTTCTGCCAATCCAGAAATGTCCATTTGAGGCGATTCAGATCATCAACCTGCCAAAGGATTTGGAGAAAGATACCACTCACCGTTATGGGCCCAATACCTTCAAACTGCACAGGTTGGGCGGAAAACCCACTTGCCAGGGACAACTGGTGGGATTTGTACTGTTTCATTCTTTGACATTCTCAACGTGGCGTTTGTAGGCTACCAGTGCCCAGGCCCGGGCAGGTTCTCGGCTTGGTTGGAACCAATGGTATTGGGAAGTCAACAGCACTTAAGATCCTGGCTGGAAAGCTGAAGCCGAATCTGGGCCGTTTCAATGTAATAATGGCGTTTGCCTCTTCCTTTTCAGGGTTCCCCCACTGGATGTTCTTTATTACTTACTTACATTGTGGATGTTCCTTGGCTATTCATTTCAGAACCCTCCAGATTGGCAAGAAATATTGACTCACTTTAGAGGATCTGAGCTCCAGAACTACTTCACTCGCATTTTGGAAGATAATTTGAAGGTAGCTCTATTTTGTACATTCAGCAAAACTCTTGTTTTCTGTGGCTTTCTAGTATTATTTGATATATATTGCGTTAACCAGAGATGAAGTGGTTAGTCCCTAATCCTTGGATGGTATAGATGACACTTGTTAGCTAGAGTTAGTCTAGCTGGTACATTCCAGAAACGCATGGTAGCTAGAGTTTTAGCATTAAACTTAGCAGACTTTTGGTTCTCAGATTATGTTTATTGTTCAACAGGCTATCATAAAACCTCAGTATGTTGACCACATTCCGAAAGCAGTCCAAGGAAATGTAGGACAGGTGCTTGAACAGAAAGATGAGAGGGGAATGAAAGCGGAGCTTTGTGCGGATCTTGAGCTGAATCAGGTTATCGATCGCAATGTTGGGGATTTATCTGGCGGAGAGCTACAGAGATTTGCAATTGCCGTTGTTGCCATACAGAGTGCAGAGATTTACATGTTTGATGAACCTTCAAGTTATCTTGATGTCAAGCAGAGGCTCAAAGCTGCCCAAGTTGTTAGATCTCTGCTCCGCGCAAACAGGTTTCATCTTCTTCTGTGCTTACTTTTCTTTTTCTCCTTACGTTGTCCTCCTGGATCTGTTGCGCTTATATATACAAGTTGCAATTTATTTCAGCTTTGTGATTGTTGTGGAGCATGACCTTAGTGTCCTGGACTATTTGTCCGACTTCATCTGCTGCTTGTATGGAAAACCTGGTGCCTATGGAGTTGTCACCTTGCCCTTCTCTGTTAGGGAAGGAATCAATATATTCCTGGCTGGATTTGTTCCTACTGAAAACTTGAGATTCCGGGACGAATCTTTGACCTTCAAGGTAACCGAAACAATGAGCCGTACATGGAACAATTTGGCTGACCTTCTGTGACATTTACACATTTCACTTGGTTGGCTTAAACAGGTAGCTGAGACTCCCCAGGAGAGTGCTGAAGAAGTTGAAACATATGCACGATATAAGTACCCATCAATGTCCAAAACCCAGGGCGGTTTCAGGCTCCGCGTTGTGGAGGGAGAATTCACTGATTCTCAGATTATTGTTATGCTGGGAGAGAATGGGACAGGAAAGACAACCTTTATCCGGATGCTGGTACTCATTTGCTTATATCATTCTTAGTTTTGAATCATCTCATTTCACTGCCAATCAATTCCCTGACCAGAAGTTATGCAGGCTGGTTTACTTAAACCTGATGATATGGAAGCTTCTGAGGTGGAGATACCCGAGTTTAATGTTTCTTACAAGCCACAAAAGATCAGTCCTAAGTTTCAAAATACTGTGAGGCATCTGCTACATTCCAAGATACGGGATTCCTACATGCATCCACAGTTTGTTTCAGATGTCATGAAACCTCTGCTCATTGAACAACTGATGGACCAAGAAGTAGTGAATCTCTCTGGAGGAGAATTGCAAAGAGTTGCATTATGTCTCTGTCTTGGGAAGGTTAGAAGCTTCTACTTCGCTAGCATATGGTTGAGGCTTAAACTTTACCTTCCGAATGCATTTGTTTTGCAGTGTCATTTCACCTTATTGATAATTGTTCCTGTCCTGTGGGTTTGTGTTACACATGTGTGATTAATTTAGTTTTCTATTCTTCTGTGCCGTGGCTTTGTGTTACACATGGGTCACTCATTTGGTTTTCCAAAACTAGATGTTCTCGCTCAACAATTATATGAGAAATTGTGGTGATTCCTGCTGACGAAACTCCCAGTCTGAGTTACTTAGGATTATCTTGCTGTGTTATTCCTATGATGACAGAACTTGCATTATAGGTTCTGATAACTCTTTTTTACAGCTCGCTTATAATTGGGTTTTGGATTCGTTCTTCCTTTTTTTGGATTTTACTCGTACATAATAGATGATGACATCTTCACTCACACTTCAGTTTCAAGATCTATGCACATGCATGTATTCATGTAAGACTAGTGGCCCCCTTGTCTACTTAAGCCGAAACATCCATAGTCGATAATTCCAAGTTTTAGCTTAGAATTGATATACTCACTTTCAAGGATATATGCATATGCATATGCATTAACTATTAGCTTTCCTTGTCCTTCCCCTGAAGAAAGCTTAAACGAACAAGATGTTTTTTTCTGGTAGTTTCCAAATGCTTCGTTTGTACCCTCTTGTTTTGATCCATACTGTTCTGCATAGTTACTGCAGAGTAGCTTTATGTTTTTCAAATAACTCTTAAGATGAATGGTTCTGTTCATTGAACTGGATTGGTTCACTTTATATGTATTCTTATGTTTGAAATAATATTCTTAATATGCAATGGTCCCTGTCTCCTTGATGGTTATATGATTTTCTTACCTGTATTGCTTGGTTGGATGCAGCCTGCGGACATTTATCTCATCGATGAGCCTAGCGCATACCTCGATTCTGAGCAGCGTATTGTTGCTTCGAAAGTCATAAAGAGGTTTATCCTTCATGCAAAGAAGACGGCATTTGTTGTGGAACATGATTTTATTATGGCTACTTATTTGGCCGACAGAGTCATCGTTTATGAGGGACGGCCATCTGTGGATTGTGTAGCCAATTCACCCCAGTCATTGCTGACCGGGATGAACCTTTTCCTATCTGTAAGGGCATCCAAACTCTTCTCATTCTTTCATCTATTTAGGTGGTATTTGTTCTAGGTATGAAGTTACCTATATGGCTATATGTCTGTGTTGGGAATGTTGGATGAGGTTGATTATGCCTTTGTTATAGCTTACTGAGAATTTTTTTGTTCACCTATCTATTTTTTTGTCGTCAAGCAAGGGTTGCATTTGTTTGGCTAACTTCTCTTTACAAATTTTTTTATTGGAACAAAAACTGATCCACCTCCTATTTGATGCAGCATTTGGATATCACATTCCGTCGGGACCCTACGAATTTCAGGCCTAGGATCAACAAGCTGGACTCGACCAAAGACAGAGAACAGAAACATGCTGGTTCATATTATTACCTGGACGATTGATCACTGGACATCTATGCATCTACCGGCTTGAGTGAGTCGATATCATCGGTACTTTTTTAAGTGGTACCAAACTGCTTCAAACATTAGCTTCAAAGCCCCTTATTTTGATTTGTTCTCCTCGTCATCTCTCATTGTCTGATGATGAATTGCAAATTTCAGGGCCTTGATTGGAGTGATTGTGCGGCAAGACTATTCCTTCGTGATCATATAGTCAGAACTTGAATCATAGTCCTTGACTTGATTCTCCTGTTGAAGAGTTTGCCGAGCCTTTCTGTTTTGAAGCTCTAAGTAATACATAGTGTAATGGTGCTTGCTGCAACACCTATTCTCTAGTAGCTTTGTTTCTTGTTCCTGCCAGTTTTGTTCATTGACAGCAGTAGTAGGTGACTCAACCTTTTTGATGCAAGTCGGAATGTAACGTTAAGAGAGGTTTCGACCCTCCATGTCACGAGTGTCATATCTGATTTAGGCTTCTTGTTAATCACCAAAGCCTCAGTGAGTGCTGACTGCTGTCGAATGGCGTGTGTGTTGTTTTATAGGCAGGGGCACGATGTTTTAGGAATTTTCGAGTATCGTGCTCAGTTATGCAGACTTTGATAGATTCTCGTTTTAAAGCATGTTTTATAGGCAGGGGCAAGGCGTGTGTTTGTGTTGTTTTATAGCATGTTTGTTTCATGTAGGGTTCCAAGTATCCTAATGCCTGTCAAGTGCATTTTGCAAAGCAATGTGCTACATCAATGAATCATACCACTACAGTTACAAAGACGATCAATTTTCATTAATTTCTTCTGGCAATTAGTACAAAGAGAACCACTTCATTTTCCATGTGTTATACAAGAAAGATTCAAGAACCGTTTTCCGGTTAACGTACAAAGATGAGGATACATCATCCAGCTTTTTATCTGTACTGTACTGAACCAAAGTTTTGCTTAATTCGATATGCCCTTCTGGTCTATTAATCACAGTTACATGATCTCTTCAATTTAAATATTATGTGTTAACATAAGAGCAATGACCAAATTTCCAAGTAATCCTATCCTAATCAAGTCTGTTTCCGCGTCTGTCTTTCTGAACCAGCTAGTTGAGCTTCTTGCCTTCTGCTTCAACATGATCTCGTTCCCCCATCGCTAGGGGCTCCTTACAGTGGGATATCCGCAAAAAGAAAGTATAGTGCAGCTGATGTTAGCCTAGTTCTTTACCAATTCGGGTGATCATCTTCGGGCGTCAATGGTGGGATCGGCTTCCAATCGGGTTTCTCGTCCCAATACATGTCGTAATATATATGTCCTGGAGTGTGACTGTCCACACAGCACCATATGCCTACATAGCGTTTCACCCGATTCCTAAATTTCTCGTCCCTTCCCTGAAAGTAAATGTTGAAACACAAGTCTTTCGGCATTCAGCAACTCAAACAGCAAACCCATTTTAGAGACTGGCCAGTTCCTCTCTTTTTGGAAAAATTGGTTTTGAACTGAACTTCAATATCATATCAAGGTAAAAGGGAACCACTTGCCTTGTCAGTAAAACCGAGGAATGTATCTTGCATCGAAGAGAACTGAATGACTTTGACATCTTTGAAAGAATCGAACGTGGCCCTAAACTGCATCCAAGTAGTTTTCAATGGTGAGGGGAAAAATGGATGCTTACGTCTACTTGAAATGATAGCCTCGGACAATATAAAAGCCTTGATGTGGACATAATTTAAGATTTGATCGCCTTCACTTCATTTTTCGAAGGACAAAAATCAAAAGGCAGCAAATATGGTTGTGATGTGGAAATGAAATATGTTTAACGGGGTATCAAGAGAAAATATTGAAGGAAAATGGAGTAGACAATATCGGCTAGTTAGTGGCTATAAGAGCTAGAAGTCTAAAGTACCATTTCTTCATTGCTTCGTCTTGGGAATCTGAGTGTTCCTGGTGCAGTGTTGGAACCGTTGCAACCTGGATTGCCTTCTTGACAAATTTGAACATCAAGCCATGACTGCTTCACCTATACATGTCCACAAGTAAATAACCTTAGCAACAACTGAAGTCATGGGAAAGCACCGTTGTTGGACTAAGATTGACTTCACTAACACATATTTATCCTTACATTGTCTGGCAGTGAAGGATTGTCGAGGAAAGAGTACTCCCTGATTTTGATGCCAGGGCCAAACTCCTCTTCTGGCAGCTCTTTCAACATGACATTGACCTATATTACAAGAGCAAGTTTAAGCAAGAGAGGGTGTGAAGTGTGGAGAGATTAGATGACTATCGTTTTTGTTTCTCTTAATAAATGGAACTAACTCAACTTGCTCATCAAACTCGAATCTGGCTATTTGTACATGGCAATTATACCAAAATTACAAGACTGAAATGAATGTGACTTGTGTTGGAGAGCTATGACAGGAGGGCAAAAATGAAAGAATGGAAGATGGGTGCCATGAAATAAGGGAAACAAAGAGCTGAAAGGAAAGAATAGAGCATATGACCAACAAGAAAACTGAAATAAAGCCCGAGGTTAAGATGTAGAAGAATTTTCAACAACTTCCCAACAGCACAAAGCCACAAACTATATCTTCAACGTTCAAACAACTGAAGATTCACTAAATGACGTCAAAATTTCTAGAAAATATATCACAAGCATTTCTTCAGGAAGGGACATGAGAAGCATAAGACCTGGCTAAATTTGAAACATTAAGCTCAAAGTTAAAGAGTAAAAGTCTATTATACACAAATCAATTTTGAGCAATCAGAGAATTGTACCTCAAACACATGATCCAAAGGGCAGATAAAAGGTTGTTTAGTCAGGGTCCCTTGCAAAATTCCAGGATGAGGAAACCATAGCCTATCCAACCTGCACCATAATGGGGGCATGACCTGTAATTGATGAAGCAAAGGATTTATACAAGAAAATTAACAAATCAAAGGAATTTAAGAGAGAAACTTCAATTCATGTTCGAATAATCAGTTAAACAGAATATGAGTTTCAATAAACATAAACAAATTTACAGTGGTTGCATACAGAGCTTAAATTTCAAACAAAATAAACATGGTGCATTATTGTGGGTTCTAGATAATTCTTCTATTGACTTATAAAATTAAACATGTAGTCATAAGCTGTTAATTGGAGAAATATCAGACGCAACAGGATTTCCAATGTTATATAACTTGAAGAAGGAAGTTAATTAGATTACAGCGAAAAGATTATCATGCTTTGGAACTAGATCTACAAAATTAATTAAGGTTTACCCAAAAATTATAACCAAGAACTTGGGTGGCAGAGTTATTCTCACCAGGGTACGATTTAACAAGGAGGCAATTGCAAGCGCAGTCCTTATTTGTTTTATCTGAATAAAGACATACCATGAGGCCGGCATCAGTTTCACTAAAGTATTTCATCAAGTGGAAATACTAGAATTATTAGGCGACGATGTGTACTTGGTAATTAACGAGAGCGAAGTGAGATTCGAGATTATGCTCTCCATCCAGTAGCAGGTTCTTTGGGATAGATGGCTTGAATGACAAGAAACCTCCTGCGTGAATTCAATCATCGCGTCTTAAGAAAGCAGGTCCTCGGAAATGTCAAAATATCAATAAAAATACGAATTCAAACAGACCAAGGAACTAACAGAAAATTTCGTGAATTGAAGTGAAGTTGTGTCGACAAAGCAAAATCTTTTTGATGCACAAAAAGACCTATCTTGGTTCCACGACTAAATTCTACTGTACCAACACTTCATTGGTTTCCTAAGCAAATATTTACAGTAATGATAAAGTGGGTATCAAAAGTTGGCACTACTTGACAACTAATAATGCCAAATTACCTGGAGCATCGTAATAATCTGGAGGATCATAGAAAGCCCTGGCTTCTCGTAACCTGTGACGCTTTCCCTCTGTACCAGCATATTGAAATGTGGTATGCACTGCATATGGCTCCAACCTGAGCTGCTGATGCATGGCCTGCCAACATATAATTGACATTTTAAGCCACAGTGGTATATTAATTTTACTTGTCCAGCTTATTATGTATGTTAGTATAATATAATCCATCTAGGCAACATCAAACAGTTGAAGCAATATTATAGCTTGTACCTGAACAAAGTAAGTATGTCCACTGCAAAATATACTGGCTGGCAATATCCCCAGCTTCAGACTTCCATCAAAAGCATATGCAAGTCCATCATCCTCATTAACTGATGGTCCGAACTGCCTTCGTACAATATCATTGAACCCATTCTGATCCCATATCTTGTCATCAGCAAGAAGCAACTCTTTCCATTCTTTCGCTAATTTCATTGCAGACTCTGTTGGCCTCCAGTGGAAAATTCCTATATTGAAAGCAGCACCAACTGCCAAAGGTGGCAAGGAAGTATGTTTAGTAGAGTCATTAAAGTCAATCATTTTTGTAACTCCCTAACACATGTGAAGATGTCAACATCTCATCATGTCAAAGAGTATTTTCAGAGACCCTAAACCTAAACAAGGATGGCGAAATTGCATAACATCACTCAAGCAGTGGCATACCAATCCCAGCGTTGGCCATGATAAATTAGGTAAAGTCCGGACCAAAAATTGCTGGCACAATAGCATCAGCGATTTCGTGTAAAAAGGGATTTTTTTTTTACCTTGTTGCCAGACTTCCAGCCTGTCATCAGTGACTGTTGGGACAACTTGATCACTTGATGTTAGGACATCTGCCTCTGGGTAACGAGCTAGATATGGAAGTGGGTTCTATTTTCAGAAAGAAAAGAAAAGGTATTAGATTAACTGTTTTCGCAATGTAAAAGATGGAAGGATGATGGATTGAAACAAGGATTGGGATACACAGACCAAGCAACACAAAAAATCATACATGCAGTACTACTTTTTAAAGTATACAAACTGAGTCTTGGCAGATTTTACAAGAATATATAGGCTAGAGCAGTGTGCACGGACAAAATAAAGCTTTAGCATGATGGAAGATGGGACAGGGTACTGATGATACAAGCAAGGAGATCGGGAAAGATCGATTATTGGGGGATGTCGTATCTCTCAAACTTCTGTACTGGATATTCAGTCTACCAAACCAGTTTTTCACAATTAGTAACAAAAAAATTTATTGCACCAGAAGGAACACTGGCAAGACACAGAAGAACAGAAAGACAGCTATCCCTTTTCCCCTTTTTATGAGTAATACAGTAGTCATTAATTATAATTGTAGTAGCCGAGAACAAGGACTGCAGGTACACAACCTAGAAGTTGGAACATCAAGCTATATGGTCAAGAGCATATAGTTCAAACAGAAAATATGTCATCTGCTGGGTCACGGAGTCTTGATGGGACCTCAAACAAAGATGTTACGTTCTTTTGCAAGAACAAAGAAATTTGAAAGACTCAACTCTACACCCAGAAAATAAGTTGCTGATGAGAAAGAGTTGTTTGGCATTACAGTGAAGCAGCCAACTTATGTTGATTATGCATGCGGTGAAGATTGATGATCCGAAATAAATAGAACAGACACGTACCTTCAACCAAACCATGTCTGTGTCACACATCAATAGTTCAAAGCCAAAAGGAAGGATTGAATCTATCAGAATAACTTTTTCTCTCCCCATCTTATGAAAAGTTGGTGACCCCCAGCCAACATCTACTGTGCTCATGTGGCTGCCCATATCGAAAACGGGAACCCCTTGCCAGTACAAGGCTTCCACCAGCTTGGTGTCCATAGCACCTACCAAACATCGATTGTAATTAGCAATTTATGAGCGGCTCACCAGAGATCGATAAAGTAGGAAGGCGGAAACCAGCCAAGAAGCTAACCTACCGACAAGAAGATTGGAGACCCCCAAGTCCGTCAAATGTTTAACCCAAGTAAGGATGAAATCCATAAATGCATAGTTACCAAAGGTCACTACTACCACATTGTCTTTCACTCTTTGCTGCACAAGTTCTTTAGTCAGTTTAAAGGTCTCCAGAGGTGGCATCTCGGAGTTCTCTGGTGGAACTTCCCATATCGGTTTCGTGCCAGAACCTGATGTCTGAGGCTGTGATAGTGGTGAAGAAGCAGTAGCCAGAGCTTTCGTTTGAGAAATGTTGCGCGACTGGTCAATGTAAGGTGCAAATATATCTAATCCAAGGGAGAAAAGGAAAGACAAACCTGGATAAGTATATTGCATGTATAATAACGCAACGATATCAATAATAATATAGGCAGTTCTAATTCGTCACAGAGGAAATCTTCTAAGTGAAATTGGAGCTTCGAGGTGTTACAAAGTAAAGAAATTTCCATGAAGGGAAACTTTCCTATTAGTTGCTGAAGCGATACATAGAACATTTCCAACAAGATATCAAATTTAGGAACAATGAGGATGCTAAGTAAGAACGCAGAAACAGCTGAAATCACTTGAGAAACAAAAAAAGCTATCAACTGGTGGGGATTGCAGTATGCATTAAATGGTACCAGCCAATTCAACCGATCCCCAAACTGGAACTGGAATACTATAATTCTCACCCGAAGTCAAAAGTTACAATAACAAAAATGTAACGCTAATCAGAAAGATCAAACAGTGGACAACACATACCGCCCAACCACTGCATCGTCAGAAACACCCAAAACAGAAGATCGTTCCACCATTAATGAAAAATTGGTGAAGAAGAACAACAAGAACACAAAAGAATTTATTGAGCAGTTAAGCGATCATAATGAGAAAAAAAAGTCAACCCTCGAGCATAAGACAAATCGGCCAACTGGCGATCAACCATGCAAAGAAGCTAACTTTACGAAGTAATTGAGCTCAAAAGGAGTGAAGAAATAGAGGGGGAGAGTTACTTCGGGGAGAAGGCGAACTTGGAGAAGAGAGCCATGGAGCAGAAACAGAGGAGGAGGCAGAGCCCGGGGCTGAGTGAATGGCGGAGAAGACGTAGAAGGAAGAGAACACAACTCCAAGCAGGACCGTGGCGTAGATCGAAAGGAACAACGGCTTCGAGTTCGCCAACTCCTGGTACACATTCCTCCATCCCAAAAACCCTCCTCCTCCTCCTCCGCCACTCCCGCCGCCGCCGCCGCCGCCGCCCACCATTTTTATTTTCGCTTTTCTTCTTCTTCTCCTTCCGTACTCGGTGGCGGAATCTTAAATCCCTGAAACTTCCGCCGCTAGCATCGCGTCTGAAGCGAAGATCACAGAGCCTGCCTAAGTTTCGAATCCAAATCGAGCGATACTGAAACGCATTTCTTCTGTATTTTATTCGAATTATTTAATGCAATGAGTAATCAATTGGAGGGAATTGGGAAACAGGGCAGCCATGACAAGGGGAAGGAGAACGAGGAGAGTCGTGGACCGAGACAGAGTCATCGGGCACCATATGCAATTGGTTATTTTGTGTTTTCGAATCGTTGTGACTATATTTGTTACAAAAGTAAAAGTTATGGATATACAAGTATTTTTTTAAAAATATTGTAAGATACCCTGTAACAGAGTTGGACTGAGACAGAGTTATTAGCGATCGGGCGGAATTGGTTATTTGTGTTTTCGAATAATTATGACTATATTTGTTACAAACGTAAAAGTTATGATTATACAAGTGTATTTTGTCAAAAAAATATTGTAAGCAACCCTGAAAATATCAAATTCGACCTTCTATCAAAAAGAAAATATTGAGTTATTTATATAAGAAATTAGTTTTGGTCGGGTATTCATATAAGTATCGGTTGAAAAGTCTAACATCATAATCTCTTCATTCCCATCAAATTTTTAGCGAGTTTTACACATGTATTAGTGTGGAGATTACTAGCATTGACTGGATCAGGACCGGCTAGATACCTACAATGGCAAGTTTGATTACCATAATAACTTGAGTTTGAATTAATTGGATAAAAAAAATAGTATGAATTCAAAAATTAATCAAGATTCCCTTAATTAGGAAAGTCAAAAGGACAAAAGCTATAGGACAGTCAGTGATTAAATAAAAAATTAATGGAAAACTTCCTTTTCAAGTCATAAACTAATTGGTGGGCTCGAGAGTGTTATATAGGTTGCCTTTAATCCAGCCTCAGATTGATGGGCCTACTCTTGTCACGGCCCAAATAAAAGGCCGGTCAAGGAAAGAGATGTGGGCGGGGTCCTTTCGTTTGCATTTTAAGAAACAAAAACGTGGGCCTGAACAAGGGAAGACCGAGTCGCTGGCCGAGCTAAAAAGTAAAACCCAACAGGAAGCAGTGGGCCTGCTCCTTTAATTACGGGCTCGTGGGAAATGAACCATGATTAACGGATTTGTCGTTGCGACCTTTCGCATCAAGTGACAAGTATGCCTCACTTTAGGCGGAGCAGTTCTCATATAGCTTGTGGAGCAACTTCGGTAGAGGTCCGTTGGCACTTGAATTTTTCTTTGTTTCTTTTAGGGGTCGTTTGTGTGTTCTTCTTGCAGGTAACTTGCACTTCAACTCTACTGTTAGCCTATTGGAACTTGACGTATAGGAGATAAGAAGTTTGTTCTCGGCGGATGGGTGCTTCAAGAAGTTTGCTGAAGGAAGATTTCCTTTGCGTTTATTCGGTTATTTATGGTTCTAGGCACACTAACAGGGTTGCCCATTTAGTGGCATAAACAACCCTTGCATCGGTAGCTCAACACTAGGTTGACTACCGCTTTTACTTTTCAAGAATTTGTAATGCCCTATCTATTTACGATCTATCTATGACAAAAAAAAAAAGAGAGGAGAAAAGCAGGGAGGCCGAGCTGCTATGAGAGATCCGAAACCACGGCAAACGAACAGAGAAGGCAGAGAGCGCTGCCGTCGGAGTTGCAACCGCCATCACCGCTAGCTACTGATTGAAGGCGTGGGGATGAGCAATGGAGTCAAAAGGGCAATTTTACGTAGAAGTATTTTGATGAATTAGAAATGCATAAGCGTTTTCGTGATTTTGAAGCGTAAAATTATAAATTTCTAACTTTTAGAGTATAGATTTCGACTACACTTCAACTGAAAAAATGTGATTCTACGTAGAAGCGTTTTGATAATCTAGAAGTATAAAACAACAAACCTTTAAAACGAGATTTTGACGGCAATGACGAATTTCCGCATAAATTAGGTTCAATTTTGATTATCAAAGTTTTTTTTTTTTTGAAAGTTTCGGTTCACCGGTGAATAGAAGTCCATTGTTTTTTACAAGAAAATAAAAAATAGTCCATCATCATCATTATTATTATTATGTTAATTTCCAACAAGGACCACAATTATTATTATTATTATTATTATTATTATTGGTAGAAACAATTGAGGCCAAAATCCAACTGGCATTGTCTGCCGTTTGACTTATCCTTCTTTGTTTTATATTCCAAAATCATCCATCCCATGCATGTAGGTGTAGCCCATTAGTACGCCGACGTGAACTGGATGCTGCTTTCATTATTTATATTTAGCAGCCCACTTGTGTTTATAAATTTGTGTAATATTTATTTCTGTTAGTTCTATCATTTTTTCTAAATTTTCTTGCAAAATTTCATTTCAATTTATTTTATTTTTTCGACTTCCACAAAATGATCACTCAGTATGATGGAGGTATTAGATTAGTGCGATAATTAGGAATAATTAGTACTTGATAAATTAGTATTATTAGTTGTTAAGGGAATAAGAGATATTCGAATTTAATTTGGATAGGAGATTAGTTGGCAAGTGTACATTTAGTGTGTGTATATCGTCAATGACGCTGAGTCTGAAACTATAGAAACGAGTCGAAATATGCATAAATTAATTTTGTTTTAATCTTCTTGTTAATATTGTGTTAGGTATACTATGAGAGCAAGTTAGTGCTATATTTCAGAATTCCTACATTCGCATTAGAACCAATCTTTACATGCTAAATATCAACGAAAATTCACATGTAAATAACACATTTTAGATAATTCCGTCTCTTTTCATACAATATTTCATAAATCTCATTTCCTAATCATCAAATATTTTTACAAACTTCCAACCACTCATAAAACCTTTTTTTCCTGTCCAAATGCAAGTTCCTGATTTATTAATGTTAACTTAAAGGGTGCGCCTATGGTGACATGCATGTCACCGTAAATTGCACTTTTCGGTCGACCTCGATCGGTTAGGATCAAGTCGAGCTAATATGTTGTTTCGGTGTAAAAACAGTTTCATGGTGTCTACTTTGGATACTCATATCTTACAATTGGCTCAATAGAAATTGGAGATTAATGGCTTGTTTTGAAGCCGGAGTGTCCCTCTACATATTGAAGTGCTTGAGAGCTCGATAAAAAGTCCAGAAGAACATTTTTGAACCTGATCAAAAGGTTATGCCAAAACTGGGAAACTGCCTGAAAGTGGCGAAGTCCGAGAAAGTGTTTGTGAAGCCTACTTTGGAGCTCAATTCGAGAAGTATGGATGAGATTCTAGTCCTGGGGCCTCTACCACATGAAAGTAGGTATGTTTGTCTACAAAGTCAATGCACTGGATGAAATATTGAATATCTGGACGACTTCAAACAAAAGGCTCGAAGTTGATACGAAGTAACCTGCCTTCTAGCACAAAACTGAAACGACTGATTAGATCGACCTAATTCTATATGAGGTCGATCTAACCGTACAAATTACGGTGACATATCACCATAGCAAAGTCCTAACTTACAAAAAGCAACCTTAACACAATTAATTACGTTTAAATATTGAAGGCCGGCAAAAGCCAACAAAAAAAAAAAGAGGGGGAAAAAATAGTGGAGAATATGCGTACATTACGTACGTACACAAATGTGTACCTCAAATCATGTTCATACACGTGGCCTTATTCCTTTTCATTAATTAAAAAAAAAAAACCAAAAACCCAGTTCTTGTATTTAGTACTCTGCATGTGTCAGTTAGCTAGCCACCAGACCACTACACGTACCTGATTAAGCACTAAGCAGTTTTTTTAAAAAAGTATCTACGAGAGGACAAGATGACAGATTGGCAACTTAATCATATATTAATTAGGATGATTAGTTAATTTTATTAAATAATGTTGCTTAGATTAACTGCTATCATTAATTAATTAATTAATTGCTGGTTTACCTTATTAAGATATTAATTAACAGTAAAAGAGATGAGAGTGGTGGTCAGGCTGAGTCAGTGTGGAGTGGAAACACTTTGCGGAGAAGGAGGGAAACAGCTAGCCAAGCTGCTTTCTTGCCCCATTGTCCTCTAATTAAATAAGTGATCAGTTTGCAATTAGTCTATAAAGCTAAAAACTAGTTTTATTTAATGGTGTTTATGCTCAAGGAAAGCCAACAAAAAGATGGCAGCTAATCTATGTGTGCTGTTGTGTAAACCAATTTTTAATGTACTGACTTTCTCGGCTGATTAGTGTCATTTTCCATGTAAGATTATCCGATTAACTAAATTATTTGTGTTCATAGTAAAAGTACGTAAGTGATTAGGTAATGGCTTCCAACTAATCCTATTGCACTTATCATCATATCAAATGTTTTAACTTTTATCCCAGCTGTTAACCGGACGAGGGTCGAGTCCAACGGAATTCTCGCTACTTTTTAATTGTAGATCGCAGGTTTGAATCAAAACGGTGGACTTCTCCTCCTCCGTAGACCCTCTTTCGAATGCGGAACCATCATTAGAGTATATGAGGTGATAGGCGCGCATCCAACGTTCCATGTCAACTAGTCACGACTCACGACATGCTCCCTTTTGAGTGGGGGTGTTCGTCTTACCCAACGTCTACTAGGAAGCAGGGGATGTCAATTTTGATCTGACCCGTTTTACCCGCGACCTGTTTAGCCTGTTTTGGGGGCGGGAATGAGTACCTCTCGTCGACCCGACCTGCCCTGATCACCCGCCCCCCATTCTCTACCCGTTCTTGCCTAAATTACATGTAATCTAACTCAAATTACTCAGTATTTTCCTCTTATTGCCTCATATTTTAGTTGTAATAAAGTTGTAAATAAGTGTAAAATTTCAATTTCTCCAATATTTTAACTACATTTTATCATATTATGGTTTCCTTCTTGGTCATTTAATGAAAATAAGGAATATGTCTAATTAAGTTGAGGTGATAGGAAAATCGACTTCGTACTCGCCACATGCACTCTTTTTGAGTGGTGTGTTTGCCTTACCTACATCTACCATAGATAGAAGTTAGAACTACTATATATCTATATAGTGTATCACCTTGCCCACTAGATCAAGAAAGCAGATTGCCCTTTGTCGCACTATTAATTAAGGATCCAAATACATGTTTTACTTATTGGATTACACATAGCTAGTTTAAGGCTTTGAGTGGCATTTGATTTGATGAATAATATTAGGCCATGCACTTTCTCCCAGCTGTGTGCGTGTTTCCTTTGAAAACGAAACCAGCCGT